CCCCGGCCGCCGTCGTCGGCGGCGGTGCCGCTAAGCGCGCGCCGAAGCGGAAGAGGCCCGGCCACAGGCGAACCGCGCAGGAGAGAAAGTTCCGTGAGAAGCTTCAGGTTATCGCTGAAACCCTAAAACCCATTCCTTTTATACCTTCCAAAGCTCTCGATTTCGGGAAACACCAGAGCCTCTTGCAGCGATTGGGGCTTTGGGATTTCGTCCACATCGAGTTCGATTCCGCGCTGCGTTGCGATCTCATTGCGCAGCTCATTGCGAGCTACGTCCCAAACTCGCGCTGCAGCTACGTCAACGGGGTTAGGATCAACGTCAACCGCGCCGATCTCGGCCGCGCCTTGAGGCTGCCGAAGAAGACCAGCGCTGGCGCCGCTGTCTCCGCCGCGGAGGCGGCGGAGGCTTTTGATTTGGGGGAGGCTGTTGGTTTTATAGAGGAATTGGTGTACAATTGGATGCTGTTGCATGATGATGCTTATATGGTGACTGATGATGTTCTGGGGTGTTTGAGTTTGATCAAGGAGGGGAATTTCGAGAAGGTGGATTGGGCGGGGTTGATATGGAACATGGTGGAGAAGGAGCTGAAGGCGCCGCAGTTGGTGAGTTGTTACTATGCGCCGCATTTGCAGCATTTGATTAAGGTGCAACATGAGGAGTTGTTGGAGGCGGAGGTTGAGGTGGTGGAGGAGGAGAATGAGGTGAAGGAGGAGGGAGAGGAGGAGGATGAGGAAGAGGAGGTGGATGGGAGTGGGGATGTGAAGATGGGTGAGGCTGAAGAAGGGGAGGTTCGCGAGTTGGAGGAGCATAATATTGAGTTGAGTTTGGGGCAGGATAATGCTGTTGAGAGGGTTGAAGTGGAGAAGGAGCAGGGTGGAGAGGAACAGATGATGGATGTGGCTTTTGAACCGGCTAAGGAGGAGGAGCCTGGGATGTGGCTTTTGGATCCGAAGAATTGTGGGGGGGAGTCGTATTTGCGGCCTTGTCACGGCAGTGATGTTAAGGGTGTGGAATGTGAACAGGTGAAAGAGGATGATGGAGAAGATGGGCAGGAACAAGAGGAGGAGGAGGAGGAAGAGGAGGAGGGGGAGGACGGTGATGAAGATGATCATGAACATGAGGGCGGGTTTGATCTCTCGGCTAAGTGTATTCCTTTTGAGGGGATGACTTCTGGGAATGGGAGTCTCATTATGGAAGCTGAACAGATGCCTTTTGGTTCTGGAATTGATCTTCGTGACAATCCGGTAGGAGAATTTCTCTCGGCAAGGGATGACCCTCAGATGATTTCTGGTTCATCGCTCTTTGGTAATGGTCACAAGAGAGACAACATGGGCCTGGATAATCATATCTCTCATCATTCTCTAAATGGAAGTAACAAGCGGATGAGAAGTGATAGCCCATGGAATTCTAAGCAAATGGACTTTGAATCGTGCATGGTACAGATGGAACATTTAATGGGGAAAGCTAGAATGATGTATATGACAAAAGATCAGGCATGCGAAGAATCTACGATGAATCAGCAACTCTTAATTAATGAGCTACAGAAGCGAGACACCATGATTGAGCATTTGCATAAAGCAAAGTTAGAAGAGATTCAGAAAAGGCAGATGGAGGTATATAGGTTTGAAAAGGAGCTTTATATGATGCAAAGCCTTGTCGAGGGCTACAGAAAAGCCTTGAAAGAAACCCGGAAGGCTTTTGCTGAATACAGAGCACGTTGTCCTCAAGGTGATGAACCACTTTACAAGGATGTTCCTGGGTCTGGGGGCCTCGTTTTGACTGTGATGGAGGTGGAAAAGGAACGTCTGAGGAAGGAAGCAGAAGAAAGGGCAAAGTTGAGAGATTTCATGAGGGATTTTGAGAAGAAGTGTACAGATTTTGAATCCACTTGGTTTGGTAAATTTGAAGGCCATATGAGTAGTGTTGAATCCCTAAGTAAGAGGTTGCTGGTTGTGGAGGACCAAGTAAAAAATTTGAATGAAGTGAATGCTAAACGGAAGGCGTCTGAACTGACTGAATGTGAGCCATGTGAGCCGATTGAATGTGCTCCAACAACTGAAACAACCGAAGGAGAAACTGCTTAGTAAGGTTTAGCTTTTTCGTTAGCACTTTTATTAAAAATCAGTTCACACCAAGTTCAAGGCTGCAGGTTGTTTATGTTTATAATGTACAGAGCTTTATTTTGAAACTGAGACATTAAACTAGGTTAATTCTTAGCTTGAATTGTCTGAGAGACTAAGTCTCCATTTATGGCAACTTATTTTCTATGTTTTGCATCCCTGCGATTTTCTTAATTAATTTTTGCGTCTAATCTTAATTCAGTTATTTGATGCTCAGTTCCAGTTGATATTTGCTCTTTTTCTGATGAAGTTATATCTGTTCTTGAAAAATGTGTTCTGATAGGAATAGAAGTATAGAAGTACTAACATGAAGTATTTATTTGTGATATTTTGCCTGATTAATTATTGATTTACTGGATAATTGAATTTGGTGAACTTCGTCTGTACATTGCCATTACTTGTATGTATATCCTTTGGTAGAGTTTCAGACTGCATGCTGTTATGTTTATTTATTTTTTGGGTGGGTGGTGCCACTTCATTTTCTAAAACAAATATCAGCATAATTTGTACGACTAAAACATTTTAGTTACTGACCAATTTCCACCAGTTTTTTCTTTATTGAGTTTGAACCTTTAAGAATCTATAGAAAAACTGTTAGACATGTTTGTTTGTTATAAAACTGCCCCTTTCTAGGATTATGACCTTACTCATCAACTATTCTTTTTCTTCTTTGAGTATATAAGAGAAACCTGATCCACAATCATGACTCACTTTTCAAATTCAGGTGTTAACGTCAAACTAGATCCATTATATTCACTTCATATTTAACCAGTGCTATTTTCTTCAGGGCCAAATTATGTAAATTTTTCACCTTGAATCAGTACTATTTTATCATCCACTATAGTGATAATGTTAGGTCCCTGTGTTTATATTGATCAGTATCTCCAAAACCCGTTGTTTTACTATCAGTGGTTAATGGAGTATATCATCCAAGTTGTACTTAATTCAGTTTTTAGGTAGGGAAGAGATAATCCAGTTAGTGGCATGTCATGATATGTTTAGAAAGCTAGAATCAGGGTATTGAGTGCTACTGGAGGGATGTGGCATATATTTTGGAAATTAGATGTATGTAAGATTCATATTGCATTTGACATGCTGCTTACAGATTGGAGTGGAAGTTTATAATGAAAAATAAACTACTGCCAGTGGAATCTTTTGTAATAATCACTTCTCGGATTTTATCCAGTTGGATATCAAAAGTAGGCTGAATATATAACAATTTTCATGTATATTTCAATCCAAAATATAAAGTCAGAATTTGGCTTAGAGCCCAACCATACACTGAGTAGAAAACTCGTACGTCCCTCGTCTTAACTGGCAGGATCAATCATAACCTTGACCATATAATCAATCATACTTGAAATTGAATGGTAAATATTAGTTTAATTAGTTTTAATCTTGACTCTATTTAAGAAGTGATTTTATGGTGAATGAGAAACAAATAAACCATAAAATGATAACCGAAGATATTCGTTTTTGGTCATTATCTTTCATTATCTCACCATGATTGGTAATAAAATTTAAGGAATTAAATTAGCAAGTTTTGAGCAGAAAACAATGAAGGCCATAGTGTTATAACAGAAAACTCGTCACTACTCACTAGTTATACTAACTGTTGTCAATGATGTGTGTGAAAGGAGACAAGTATTGTTAAGCTTTTTATGAAACTGGTAAATCTGCTATTAGAATAAAATTGTCCAGACGATCACAAACTCAAGTCGAAAAACGAGTCAACGAATCTGAAATAAAATTGAACTTTTGCCTCAAATTGATCTTACCTGAAAGTGTTTTTCAAGACAACACAAATGTAATTACTCCTTAAATCAATTAAACAAGTTAATCAAAATTTCACTATTGTCCATTTTCTGCTAACCAATCCAAAGTTGAATCGTAGCAAGAAGTTTCGTTACTATGAAATTAAACTGTTGTCAAGTGTTTTACTACGCAACGATGCTTATGAGCCCAACATTCATTGTGAACCTAACAACCGAAAAGCCGAATGTTGTGGACTCATCATGAAGGAGCAAGGATGTGTCTAAACGACAGAGCTTTGCCCAAAGCATAAAGACTGTTATTTTTTGCGGTAAGATGGGGGCTAAGCCCCTAGGGAAGAACTGGGATTAAAAACCCAGGGGTAAGTCTAAATCATGGTTTGCATAACAATCGTCTTTCTTAGAACACAAGATTTCAACGTTGCTGCCCCTCCAATCAATGAATGGACTTGACAATTCGAGCATGTTGGTGATGCTAGTAATGACCATTATGGAGGAGATTGATCGCATACTTGGAATCAGATTCAACAAGCACGTCAGCAAAATCTGTATCAACTAAAATCTGGACACCCAGCTCAATAGCCTTTAGTTAGTTGAACAATCCTCAATTTTGGCAAAAAAAGCCAAAAATATCAGCACCAAGCATAAAAACTATGTTATTCTAATGGCCTTCATTGTTTTCTGTTATAGAATACATTTTAGGCATACCATTATACATGTGTTTGGATAACATTCACGTTTCTAATCAAATTCATGTCAACTTTCTTGAAAAAAAAAGACCCGAAACTACTCTATTTTTTGGTTGTCCAAGTATCTTAAGGAACATAATTATCTACTAACTATACTATGCCATATTGGTGAAGAAACTACTATTACTTGCTTTAGTTTTGAATGCATGTCCATTGCTTTGAACCACACAACTAATCACAACATATTCATGTAAAAGACCATGTTTCGAAAGAAAATATAAATATAATTAGGAAAATTTTTAACAATATTGTAGATGGACCTCAGTTTTAGAGCCATTGTTGATCTTAGAGAAATTAGTTCTCCCAAGATTTTTTATATTAAAAAATTAGTTTTCATAATGTATTGGTGTATAATTATATTACAAAAATTAATTTTTGTAAATTAAAGGATATTTTTGTAAAATAATTGAAAAAAAAGGCTAGTGGAGTGAAGGGAAAAAATGGGCATGTGAGTAGTGAAAAATTCTAACATGAAGCAGTATAAAATGTGATACATGGATGAAGTATTATTTTTAACTGTTGAATTTAATAATATAATAATCAAGAGTTCAAATTTCTTATCTATAACTTGGAAAAGAAAATTTTGTATTTTGTAGATTAGTCACTGTTTAGGGTAACTGTTTTGGTTACCGGCGGGTGGTGAGGATGAGGAAAACGACAGCGGCGAGCACGATGGCGAGGCCATCGAGGGCGAGCCAAGGGTGGGGAGGGTCAAATTTGGAGGTGGTGAGGTTTTGGTCGTAGCGGATGTAGTTGACAGCGGAGAAGGCGAAGGAGAGACCCTCAAAGAGTTGAACGCCATGGACGACGGGGAGGGGGAGGTAGCGGCAAAGGAGGGACATGAGGCCGGTGGTGCCGAGGAGGAGGAACCCGCGCCTCCGCCGCCATCGCGCGAACGAAGTCGCACTTCGGCTGCCACTGCTTGAAGGAGCCCACGCCTCCATTGCCACCGCGCGAAGAAGGTCGCACCTCCATTGTTACCGTGCGAACAAAGTCGCGCTTCCGCTGTCATTGCTTGAAGGAGCCCACGCCTCCATGCTGCCACCGCTCAAAGGAGGCTGCGCCTCCGCTGCTACCATACGAAGGAGGTCATGCCTCTGCTGCCACCACTGTGGAAGGAGACGACACCTCTGCCGCCACCGCGCCTCCACATATAATATAAGGACTATTTTGCAATTTTAAACAAGTTAAAAAACTTGCTATTGCCGATAATTTTAGTGTCTCATGGATGACCCATGACCTCAAATACTTCATGTTAGAAGGCCTCTATGAGTAGCAACTAAGTAAAGATAAGCCAGGTCAAATATGGCTTTGTTTAAAAAGGTATAACCTGTTTAAAAATTCAAGGTCCAAGTTTAACTTATTACCTATCATGACTCAAACTTGATTTACTTTTTTTAAAAGCTTGTTAGTCTACTTAAATGCCAATTTCATATTAAAGCTCTTATACTAGTTTAATCTGTTTCTAGATAGACTTGTCGACTAATAGGTTACTAAGAAAAAGTTCTGTACAGTATAAATTATAGATTATGAAAATTAAAATCACTATCAAAGCATAACATATAAAAATTATTCCGAGCCTTTATTATAAGTATTTGTAATTGTGTTTAGAAAATTTTATAAAATATCTTATTGATAACTCATAAAATATTTTAAACTTATTTAAATTAACTATCTTATATAACTTATTGTTTAGCTATACGAAAATTATGGAAAAATATCTATATTTTAAATTCTATCGTCAACCTAAGTGACTTTTATTTTTATTTCTTTATTCCTCCATCTAAAACCATTTTTTTTTTGTTTTTTTTAATCCTCCTCTACATAGATTTTCATTCCTCTTTATTTTTGTTCTTTCTCTGCAGAAGTTTTTATGTTGTTGATATATGTACATTGATTTTTTTTTAATTACGATTTTATATTACATATAGATTTATTTTTAACGTTTAAAAAATATGATTAAGAAATTTTAATTATGGTTATATATATATTTAATTTTTTTCAATGTTATTTTAAAAATTATTTAGTTATGTTTATTTTTTTTAATTTTAAAATGAAACAACATTTTATAAGTTCTT